CCCAAACCACCCGCAATACCTTACGTTGTTGTATGTACCCAAACCACCCGTAATACCTTACGTTGTTGTATGTACCCAAACCACCCGTAATACCTTACGTTGTTGTATGTACCCAAACAACCCGTAATACCTTACGTTGTTGTATGTACCCAAATCACCCGTAATACCTTACGTTGTTGTATGTACCCAAACCACCCGTAATACCTTACGTTGTTGTATGCCAATGGCTTGTTCTTGTATTGCGTTCTTTTTTTCTTTTTTTCTTTTCATTATTCCCTGGACAAAGCGGGTGGTTGGCGAGTGCTCTGGCGTGGTTTACTCCTCCTTTCCTATTAAGCATCTTTTGTCCTGATCTCTCCTCCTTCATATTTTTGTTTTTGTTTTTGTTTTGTTTTTGGTTTTGTTTTGTTTTTTGTTACTCTTTTGTAACACTCTTAATCTCTGGCACTGCTATGACCTAATTGTGTTCAAATGCCGTAAAACTCTAACTAAAACTAAAAATTCCTAATCTCACGTCCAGATCTGGATCTTTTGCATCTTAATGATTTTCGTCCCCAAAAAAATTTGAAATAGCTATAATAATTGTCGAATGAAGATCAATAAATGCTGTCTGAACGGACATCTGTGCGGTCGTTTGGGGGGGAAAAAAACTAAGCAAAATACACACAGCCAAGTACCAAAATACAGCCCGAAACTCACAAAATATCGGATTTTTATTTAAATTGAACTCTTATCAATGTTACATCCTTCCTCCTTTTTTCTGTAAGATAATTGTATTAACAATGCGTACTGGATTAGCTATACTACATGTGTTTCTTAAGCTATTTCTAAGAGATCCCTCTCGACGTTCATAAACCGAGCAGAGAGAGACAAGTATACACTCGTAAATAACTAATGGCATTGCGGAGTGGTTGATGATAGCAAAAGCCCGAGCGTCGATGTCAGATTTCTGCAGAAATAACAAGCTAAAAAAGATCGACAACTTTTTGAAGAATGTCAGTGTGTACTATGGTAATCTGTGGTGACTAAGGCATGTAATCGGGGGGGGG